TCCAACCAGCTGGACTCCATAGAGCAAAACTCCAGCAGTGCCCGTTGATGCTCATCGCTTAGAAATAATCGAAGCAGCTCCTTAAGCTCGTTTTTGGCTCCGACAAAGTTGGTTGCGTTGTCAGACCAAATATGTTGAGGCCTTCGGTGGGTGCATATAAGCCGCTTCAAAGCCTTTAGAAAAGAAATTGTGGACAGATCCCTTACAAGCTCCAGGTGGACGGCTTTGGTAGCAAAACAAATGAAAACACTGACGTAACATTTTACTGGAGCCTTATTACGCACTTCCGGCACACAAGTGACTCCAAAGACCTGGGAGCCGCTGACTCTTTGCTCCGGGAGATCAGCCATGTGTTCCAACAACCGAGGCTTAGTCCGGTGCATCGGATGCATTTGTTTATTGCCTTCGTCACCGTTTTTCTCCCCCCAATTGGCCAATATTTGGACCAATATTGGGGCTCATGGAAGTCAACAACTATAGCCTTGGAAGTATAATTGGATGCTGACTATCAAAATTCAACGACGAATTTTTTAGCCGACCGTCTACGCGCAACAGACCAAATTTATCCAAGAAGTGAGAGGATGAGGCAAGGGCACAGGATGCCGCTATCTCTTTTCCATTTTGAAGCGCCTTTATGTCCTCTCAAAAATGCACATGCTGCACTAGTCGCAATAACAGTTGTGTTCCAGATTTTATAACGCTAGCCGTGACACCGTTGTGGCGAATTCCTTTAAAAAACTTGTATACGTAAGCGAATACCCTCTGCAGTGCTGGAAACGAATTAGCGTACTGAGAAACCGCTGTTACATTCACGTACGGAGACTGATTAAGCAGGACCCTTGCACATAACTCCAGGGTCGATCTCTCAGATGGGACCGCGGTTGGCCACGCCTCTTGGGATCCAATGAGAAACGGAGGACCGTGAGACCACAGCTTGTTCTTTACCAATTCATTGGGAAGGGCACCACGCGACAGGATATCTGCTGGGTTCAAAGAAGTGGGAACATACCGCCACTCCATTTCTCTATTTAGCCTCTGAATGGTCGAAACTCGATTGGCGACGAAAACATTAAACCAAGAGGGTTCTTATCGAATCCAAGACAGACCCACATCAGAATCGCACCAGCAAAAATACTTTTCAACATAGACCTACAACTGGGCTACTTCCGACATAAGTCGACGCATGCCCCATACGGCTCAATGCTGGCGTCACAGAATCCATGGACCTCCACCTCGGATTTCGATGTTAACGCCCATCTAGGCGCGCTACATCTAGGCGCGAATTCGGCGCGCTGGGTACTAACGAAGCTACTACAACTCATATTCCAGTCGCAGTAAAGAGCTTGAGGAAGACTTTCATCCCAGGACAACTTCTCACGGCACAGTTTCTGGAGAAAGATCTTTGTCTCTGAAATTACAGGAAATTGGCTTTTGGCAAGGATCCCGGATGTTTGCTGCATTATGCTAATAGCTTCATCTATAGAGTCACCTCCGGAAAGTAGATCACCAACATAAAAGTCGCGACGCAGAATTTCGGCCCCTTTTGGAAACATTAATTGCTCATTATCTGCCAACTGATGGAATGTCCGAACTGCTAAAAATGAAGCAGGCTTCGTTCCATAGGTGACAGTATCCAGCTTAAAAACCTGTAACTCATCCTGGGTGGAATCCCGCCAAAGAATACACTGAAGATAGCTGTCCTCAGGAAAAACCCTGACGGAACGACACATTTTACAAATATCTCCAGTAATGGCCGCCCGATGGCATCGGAACCTTAACAGAATATGCAGTAACTTTGGCTGAATAACTGGGAATAACACGTCATTCAATGAATATCCAGAAGTGGTGACAACAGATCCATCAAAGACAACCCTGAGCTTGGTTGTTGCACTGTCCTCCTTTAAAACACAATGGTGTGGTAGAAAGTATTGACCAGTGACGCTCGCATCAGCAGGGACTGGAGACATGTGACCCAACTCCAAATACTCCTTTATGAAGGCAGCATATTGCTCCTTCAATTGAGGACGGCGACAGAGCTTCCTTTCGAGGGAAAGAAATCGTCGAACGGCTTGGGGGTAAGACTCTCTCAGCAACTTAAAACCGCATTTTAACGGAAGCCTCACAGCGTAAGCGCCGGAATCCAGCCGAGCAACATGTTGCGCGAAATGCGCATCGCAATCTAGCTCTTTCTTCGTCCGCTTCACAATAGGCTCGGAGCAGTCAAAGATTTCCCAAAACCGGCGGAGCAGAGTATCCAGCTGATCATCCAGCATTGTTGCGCTCTCCGGAACATCCTTGTGGGCAGTGGAAACGAGTGATCTTCTCTGGACATGTGAACCGCCTCCACACACGACCCATCCAAGTCGAGTTTTCTGCAGCAATGGCAGGTCGGCTGAGAGCTTAATTTGCCCAACACACAACAGCTCATAAAACAGACTGGCTCCGATAAGAAGGTCGATGCGCTGTGGGCGGAAAAATTCAGGATCAGCCAAAGAAAGATTGCCAGGAATATTCCAACTAAAGACATCCAAACTAAAGCTAGGCTGCAGTTCCGTGATATTGGCAGCAATGACAGCGTTAACCAGGGCCGAGTATTCGGAGCAGTGGGACCGCAGGAGAACATCAACAGAGAATCCATCTGTCGCAAAGCCGGTATCGCCAAAACCAGACACCGCCATGAATGATTTATACCTCCGGAGCTGCAGGTGACTTGCCAGCCGGGAAGTGATCACGTGCACCTGCGATCCAGAATCCAACAGCGCTCGGCATGGAACAAGGGATCCAGCGCGACTACGAACAAGAATGTTCGCGGTAGCAAGCAACGATATATCGCTGCGCCGACCTTGAGCAACACGGCAATGGCTGACGTGGTTGGAACCAAAGGTTGGACGCTAGATGCCTGCGGCTCCAGAAAATGCAGCAGGCTGTGATGCTTCCGTTTGCAGACACTTCCGACAAACACCGAGTCGCCTGGCCTCACCAAGGCGAATCTGAGGGGGCATTGATAGAAATCAGAGGGAAGCGAATTAGTAACAATAAAGGATGATCTACTATTATTTGCACCTCGACGCCTTCCCACGTGAGCGCCCGGAGCGTATGCAGTCATGGCCACTTCCATAGCCTCCAGCGTCCTACATCGCTGCTCCAAAAATTCGGCCATCGACTCCCAAGTAGGGATGGCGTCTAATCCTGAGGAGTTTTGACTCTCCTCCCACTTCTGAACCTGAGAAGTTTTGACTCTCCTCCCACTTAGCTTGCGTAGCTGGGTCCAACCTTTGAAGCAGAATCTGGACGATGATGCAGCTGGCGATCTGAACTGATGAACCCTAAATTCTTTAAGGCTCGCATATGGACATTGAATTTGTCCGAAAGACCTCGAAGAGCTGCTATTGAGCCACTTTCCAACAGACTGAGGCTCAGAATCTCGTTCACGTGTACCTGAAATATTAAACGACGGTTATTAAATCGTTTCTCCAATAATTTCAGCGCGACATCATAGTTCTCGTCGGAGACTTCCAAGGAACGAACTGCTTCGAAAGCGGACTCCCGAAGGCAAGATTGCAACCTTTGCAGCTTTTCCACCTTACTAATACGAAGATTGCTGCCGACGATTGTAGAGAAGATCGAGTAAAATTCAGTCCATTCCGAGTATTCACCGCTGAACGTATGGAAAGGCAGCACTTGAAAACTTTGACCTAACCCTGGGTCAGCCTGCATGGTGGACATTCCGTTGGCAAGGGTGGAGTGGGCAGCAATTCGAGAAGAGCGAAGGGTCGTCTCGTGCTTAATTTCGGCCTGCATCGTCGCTACGAGCTCCGAAACAGTCCATCGAAGATCACTGCTGATCTGCAAAATGTCCAAATCCTCAAGCTTCCCGTGGATGGCCTTGAAAACGCTGAACATGGTGGCTATCTGAATCTGTCGCACGTGTAGCATGGAATGATCAAGGGCATCAGGGCCTTGCACTTTAAAATAGCACTACGGGTTGGAGTGGGTGCTCCTGTGACGGCGCCGCTGGAGTTCATGATTAATTATATTAAATTCCGAACAACCCTAAGTAAAATTTATTTGCTCGCAGCGAACACGATCTGTCCCACTGTGCGCTCAGAACCGTAGCGGAATTGTGGAATGTATATATATATAAAGTCTATTCGCGGGCGAATGCACTTGCGTTGTGGAACGTAAATATGTATGTGTGCTTGCGAACTAACGTTTACGTTTATGTCTGTATGTATGTATAATATATTATATATTATAATTTAATTATTATTATAAACAAAATTATTAGCCATGTATGAAAATTTGTCACATTACACTGTTTACAAAATTGTTTTGTTTTTGTTTTAGTAATTTGTTTATGTGTATATATGTAATATATATTTACGATCACATCGGGGTTCACCAATTTTTGGTCATTCATAATTTTCAATGCCAGTAAATAAAAATCAACTTGTATTAAGTTAAACGTTATAAACCTTTATTTGGCCGCATATGAAATTGGGATCTATGTACAATATGGGAAATCCAATTTAGGGTGCGAGCGCAATAAGACGAATAAGAGTGACGCCAACCTTTCAGGATAGGCTGAGCGGATGCTCGCTGGCTTTAGATGTCGAATTAGTAAAGCCGAGCGGCCGAAAGGGAGTCGGCTTGCGACCAACAATACATCAGTTGATAATTAATTATTATATTTAAACTAGTTGCTTGCTGCTTGACCCGACACTAATCTTGATCCCCTGTCAGGTGGGGCAGTTTCGAACGGTGAATTCTACCTCACAGGGGAGGCGTAGTTCATGTTACCACCAGAGGTTTTGTGATTCCTCAGTAAGAAAAAATTTTAGATTCCAATTGTAATAGACTCATTTCTTATCTTTATACAAATTGACCAGCTTTTATATGTATATTGGTTCTCCTTACTCTTGGGCACGTGTGGGAACTTATTTACCTGGAACATTTTTTGCAAAACTTAGACTTAGTTTTGTATTAAAAATCGATGAGTATTCCTGTTACAATAATGTTTGTTTTATTTTATAATTCTCAATTATAAAGTTTGTTAAAAAATATATATTTATGCGAAGAAGTAAATGCATCCGTTATTTTGTGAGCCTCAACATTTGAAAAGCTTTTTGCGAGAAAATCCATTAAAAATGAAGTATATCTGATATAGCTGTTAAACAACGATGTTTGTCGGGTAAATAAAATGGTTCAAATACGTGTGGGAATGGGGTATCCCATCCAGTCACTCTCTTCACTGGTGCTTCAAGATGTAAAAAGCATTTTTCTTGAATATAAGCAGCAATTTCAGAACCAAATCCTTGTGTAAAAGGGGCTTCATGTGCAATTATTACTCTGCCAGTTTTTTTTGCCGACTAAAAAAAAAACAAAAAAGGACGGTTAAAGTTGTCTTTTCCGACTAATCGCATTGTCATCGCATAGCATGTCAGCGTGCAGTGCGTTGATAAACAGTTTTAAGGGGTTACGCCACCCTGACCGCGAGGAAACGGGACGGTTTTTCTGGAATTTCTTGTGACTAAACTAGTTGAGATAGGATTTTTCCACTTTTATTTCTATTCAATACAAGTAATAAGCTTTATAAATTCTAAAAAAAACTTGTTTTTAATGCAAAATGGCGGAGATATGAACATTGGCGATCATCGATTTTTCCGGAGTGCTCCTTGATGGTGGGCATGATTCACGTGTCAATTTTCATGTAAAACAAGTAAATTTTTTTTTAAAAAGTGATAAATTTGGAACAAAAAAAAAAAAAATTACGCAAATGAGAGCACTTCAAAAATTGACTCAATTTTTTGGGCAAAAAATTTCGTACTAAAAATTGCATAAAAAAATGTCTATCCATTGAATCGAAAAAATCAAGATTATCAAGATATTGTCTTCGAGGACGTCTTAAAATACGCGTAAGAATATAGTCTTTTAAATTAAGTAAAAACTAAAAAATTGATTTTTTGAAAATTTCAGGGTGGCGTAACCCCTTAAATAGATTTAAGATTTTCATGTTTCTTTCTTGTAAGTTAATTTTACAAAATGAAAAGTTTCAAAACGGAACTCATTAAGGTAATACCTATTTATGTGGGGCTCCTCTTAACATATTGATTGGAATCAATTGAATATTAAAGTATGACATTTTCATTTTTTTGTGTAATTTTTTTATTAAGAAATATGAATAAATAAGCAAATATTTTTTCCTGTAGTACAGTAGTTTTATGAAATGATAATGGCTATTACCTGTTACCTATAACCATTACCTACAAAGCCCACTAAAAACAATAAAAAAAAACGTTTAGAAACTTAGCTATTTATTAGCTATGTAATTTATTTTAAATACCAGGTATTTATTTAAAATTTAAATTTAAAAGAAATTTAAAAAGAATTAAAAAAATAAATCTACAAACCTTTTCCTATTCTCAACTCCCTATTCTCAACTCCCTATTCTACTCCCTAATTTATTATATTATTGTAAAATATTATGTAAACTTATTGTGAGTAGGTGCAATCTACAGCTACAGTTACATCCTACAGCTTAATAATTTGTTTACAATAAACCGTAAATGGGCCGTCCATAAACCTCGTGACGCTCCGAGGGTGGGGAGGGGGTATGTGACAGAGTCATGCTATGTCACAGTAGGGGGAGGGGCAAAGACACGATGTGTCACATTAGGGGGGGAGGGGGTCAAAATACCCGAAAATGAGCGTCACGAGGCTTATAAACGGCCCCATATATGTAAGTTGATCAATTTACCTTTTTCAAATTGGCTTATTTAATTTATAAGGCAAAAAAAAACCAGATGGACTTTTAGGTTTCAAATAGGTTTTCATATTAAAAACTGAAGTGACACAATAATTATATGCGAAAAGTCATAGGGATACCGCCAGATTTGTTTGGTTAAAATAACAGTTTTGTTGAACAACTTGAACATTTTGGACGAAATTTAATTACTTTCCTTCTGTCCAAAGGACTTCATAAAATAAGTAGGCCATACAGCCATACAAATTTTTTGAAAAATTTGATGATTTTGTTGACAAAGGATACCCGTTGTATACTGGTAATTAAATTCTCCTGTATGGAGGATTGTGCTTAGCTACACCTTCTTTAAAACCTTACCCTTTAAAACCCTGAGAAAAACCAAACTATCGACTTGAAACTTGCACACACCCTTCTTTCGTTTTTACGGCAGTACACAAGACGGAGCGGCTGCGATCACCCGACTATATCCTGATACAGCTGCAATATAACTGATTCATCGAAAATGCTTTAAATTTAATGCTAGAGTTCGGATTTTGTATGAATACCATTTATGGCACAATAACCCGACATACCTAATTTCATGCGGATCTGCCAACTATATCCTTTAGCTGCCATATAACTAAACAAGGAAATTGTATTTGCCAACTTTGCCAAAGAAAGAAGCTTGGGACTTTTTTTAAATTTTGTATTCCAATAAATTATAATTGTTTTTATAATAAAATTCTCATAACGATTTAATTCTGATCATAACTGCAAGACTATATAAACTTCGGCTCCGCCCGAAGTTACCTTTCCTTTCTGGTTTAACAAAAGCTTAGTAAATTGTAAATACAAGTAATACAAGTAATTGAGTAATTTACGCAATATTTTATATTGAACGTCTGACCTCTGAGGGCCGCAATACAGTTAAGAAATAACATTGACGCAATCTAGAAGAGAAGCAGAATAAAATGTGTAAAGCTCGTTTGTCCCTTTTTGGTTGATTTTTTCCAGCTTTTGACTCAGCAGTTTATACTTGATTATGAATACATAAGGTTGTCAAAAAGACGTGGGGTATTTTCGCTAGCTGAAACACGCTTTTGACAGTTTGGTAAATATAGGGTCACAAACATGAAGAAAAATAAAGATAAAATCTGGCATGTTTTACAACACTACTACGAAAAAGGCAAAAAGCATATCAAGCTGACAATAACATTATTGCAGTTTATGGACCCGATACAGTTTCTACTTTAATCGCACAACGATGGGTTTAACCGTTTTCGTTTTGGTTCAGAGGTAATAGTATATGCGCCTCGCTCCGGAAGTTCTGACAATGAAAATTGCGATAAAACAGCTTAGTTGGTCGCGGGAGATCGGCATAGTAGCAGCCGTAGCGTCGGCCTTATAAATACTCCATGTTACATACATTCACATGAATTCAACATTCCCTTGTATATATGTATATATCAAATTGTAATATTTCAGTCACTTACTTTAGATATTGTATTTGTGTCCCATGGTAGAATTGATACCAAATCAATAACTTCACAATCAACCTTTAAAGTTTCTTTGGCCAGTTCAGCAGCCTTAAAAAAGGTTAATAACGAAAAACTTCAATAATAATTCAAACTTACTTCCAGTAAAATGTGGACCTGTGTACCCCATCCAATAAGAGTGACATCGTTTCCCTCTCGTAGAACATCCGCTTTGCCAAGCTCCGATGTATAATATTCCGTTGGTACTTCCTCAACCGCTGCACGATACAACGTTTTTGGTTCAAAAACTATACAAGGATTGGGATCACGAAAACAAGCCAAGAGAAGACCCTTAGCTTTAATTGGTCCACGAGGTACCTGTTTTGAAATCAAAAGTTAAAAATATAAAGGAATTTATTTCACTGTTAAATTACCACAACGCGAAGACCTGGCGTATGAGCGAAATATGCTTCTGGGCTTTGAGAATGGTAGAGGGCTCCATGGCCAACTGCTCCACATGGAACTCGAAAAGTTAAAGACCCGCAGTTAAAAAGATCTCCACTTCGGTACCGATATTTAGCAGCCTCATTTACAATTTGATCAAAACTTGGGAATATATAGTCCGCAAATTGAATTTCAGCTATAGCTGTAGTTCCAGTGTTTGCCACTCCGATTGCAAAACTTAGAAAACAGACAAAAACCATTTTTTAATAATTTTTTACACAAAAACAGATAAAGTATATCTTACAAATGAACCTTATTTTAAAATATAACAAGAAAGGAAAGCTAACTTTGGCCGGAGCCGAAGTTAATATACCATTGAAGTTAGTTGGGGTAACGGATATCGGATATATACTATGTTTATGTTATAGAAATCAAGATTTCTTGAAAGCGCGATATAATAATAACCCCTGTTTAAGCATGTCTCACACCAGAGAAAATAAATCGCAGCGGCAGCGGCATGAATAAGCCGCGTGATGTTTTCCGCGCAAAAATAGCAAGTGTGTTCACTTCGCGGCGAATTCATTTGCGATTTTTTTATTTAAAAAATAATTAATTATAAGTCAAAAACTGTTTCTCGTATTATATTTTTATAATTAAATTACAATGTAATACAATTCATTGTATTAAAAGCCAAAATATAGTGATTTAACATGTAAACAAGCCAAAAATTGAACACATGCATCACATGCGACGTCATCAGCGCAGAAAATGAGCGAAAAAAACGCTGCAAAACCGAATTCGCTTCGCTTTGGTGTGCTTACGTTCATAAGACGCAATGTAAATTGATATTCGCGCCGCTGAGATTTTTTCAGGCGGCAAAGCTGCTTAAAGGAGCATAGTCTGTTTGTGATGGTCAGGTCTCCCTAGTGCTCTGGCGCTGCCTTGCGATTGGATTCTGCGAAGTGCTCCCTGAAGCTAAGCCTCGTGTCAAGCGTTACTCGCAGGTACCTGATGGCCCTGGTTGATGTGACCACGTGTCCGCCTACATTGATCATGGCAGTCTCCCCCGCTTCCTGCTTTAGATCAGGACAGTCTCCGTCTTGTGGTGGGCTAGGCTTAGCCCTGCCTGTTCGAGCCAACCGATGACATTTGCAATGGCAGCATTGCAGGACTCCTCGACTTCCTGGATTGTCTTGGCGACGATCACTACCGCGATGTCATCCGCGAATCCGACTAGGTGTGTCCGTTCCGGGAGTTCTAGTCTGCGGACCCCGCCCAAAGCCTCCGGCGGCTTGCCTGGCTTTGGGAGCAAGACCAGGCTTTGAATTTTCCACCTTCTAGGGAATACGCCTTCACGTAAACATCCGTTGAAGACCTTGGCGAACCGGTCCGGACACGCAGTCATCGCCAGTTTAATCGCGCTGTCTGGGATCCCATTTGGACCGGGAGCTTTCCCGACCTGGATAGCCTTGGCGACTTTCACAATATTCTGGGCGCTTATTTCCTAAGCCGGCGTAAAGCCGGCAGGCTCTCTTTCTCTACTCGGCACTGGATAGATCTGCGTCAGGATAAGGTGATCTACAATGGCTCTCATTGTAGCGGCTTCTTTTGAAGCGATCGGCTTTGCCTGCTTCGCTTTCTTGACTACGGTCCGGTAGGCCGATCCCCACGGATCTTGCTCTGCAGCATCGCACATCTCAAGGAAGCACCTCGATTTTATTCCCTTATCAACTTCTTCAGTATCTTTCTCTTTGCCGCGAAGTCCTCTCTTTTCTGCTCAAAGTCCGGCCTTCCTCTGGCTCTTTGATGCAGCCTTCTGGTTCGGAGACACTCTTTGCGCGCATGGGCTATCTCCGGGGACCACCAGGGCACCGGTTCATGGTGCCTTGAATGCCCACGGCTAGACCTCATGCTGGCTCGGCAGGCCTGTAGAACCGCAGCCATGGTATTCTGGACAGGGTTCAGCGTCCCCCAAAGGATCTTGGATCCTCAGTTCCTGCGCAAATATTTGCGGTTGCAGCGTAGCCGGATTGAACCTTGGTGGTTTCTTTGTTGTGGAGGCATGCGCTCTATCCTCGATGTCGCAGACTATATATTTGTAGTCGCTCGCAGTAAAGTCATCACTACATTGTCCTCCGAAACAGAACGCTGCTGCAGAAGGTAAGGTCCACGATCAAAGCCTTGCTGAACATGTTTTGGGAGCCGGTGCTCATCAGGGCTACGACAAGAGTCGCAAAGGTCTCTTAGAGGGTGCGACCCCTGGCGTTGGTGCGCGATGAGCCCTATTCGTCCGCCCAGGCGATTAAATCGCCTGCGATCACCACCTGGGATTTGTGCCTCGCGTCCTGGGCTATGTCGTCTAGGGTGTGGGTGAGCCGCTGCAGTGTTGGGCGAGGGGATGTGGTAGCAGCTGTAAAGCCAGAACTCGCCCACTTTGGCCCGGATGAACCCTTCGCCGGTTAGTAAGCTTTCGGGTTGTCTGCCTGGCGCACAGATAGCTGCTGCCTTGGAGGAGTCCAGAATGTAGTTTTGCATCTCGCCTTTCTTATACGGCTCACTTATTAGGGCTATATCTGCCCCCTTCTCCCTCAAAACCTGCTCGAGAAGGCTATGAGCTACTTCGCAGTGGTTGAGGTTAATCTGAATGAAACTCATTCTCTGCTTTGTTTCTGTGCTTCGGGTTTACCGAGAGGGCATCTCTTGTTGCCAGCTACTTCGGCTCGCTCTGCCTTGTTTGCAGCTGCACAGAGGAAGCACTCTGCCGCGTTTGTGCAGGAAGCCACTTTGTGCTCTTGTCTTTCGCATCTGAAACACCAGTCGCTTCTATCCGTCCGCTCTTTGCAGAAAGCGGCGATGTACCCGAAACTAAAGCATTTGAAGGAGCGAGGCTGGGCCGTGCGCTCCCTGACCCTGCACATGGTCCATCCTATCCTAATCCTGCCATCGGTCAGGATATTTGATGGCAGGCTCGACCCCACTCCCAAAATGGCGACCTGGGTTCCAGAGTAGCCTGGGCGGATGAACTTCACCCTGATGGCCTCCTCCTATCCGCTTATTCGAGCTTTGATAGCTGCCACTATTTCCCCCTCAGTGGTTAGGTCATCCAGGTCGCAGGTCCATGGTGGCGAGCACGAACGCTCGCTGTCTCGCCAAGCGTCTGCCGCATCTTGAGAGCGTTTGCCTCGTTCGCTGCCAGTTCCAGCAGGAGATCTCCTTTTACCGGCAGTGTAAAATTACGTATTCGAGACTGGTCAAACTTTCACAAAAAATGAATAAACCAAGCAAGGCGATGGATTAACTTAAATTTTCATTTACAATCTGCAAATAAGAGCCGAAAAATTAATTACCAAAGTCGCGGAGTGAAGGCGACTCCTTGAAATTTGGTACATTGCTCAAATTAAAATCCATAATTGGCATCAAAGCTTTTTTTGAAAACAAATTAGGTTTTTCAAATGGCGCTACAGAATTATGCCAGTTGCAAAGGCGAGAGACGCGCGGCAAACATTTGAAACCAGCTTTAAATTCGTGTGTATTATTATATAATATTATGTCTTCATACTTAATCTTATAGGGGTATCTCTTATAGTCTCCGTGATCCTCGCGTTAATACAGACAGACGGCAATGCAGACGGATTGAGACGAGTTCTCTGGAATGGCAATATCGACTCGACTATTGATAGTGTTCAGAGCCTATGTAATAGGATATACTTTATAAAGCTGAGATTTTTTATCAATACAATGCACACTTTTGACCAAATTTTGTTTTTGTCTTGGCTTTCAACATTTTTTAAAGTGACACTGGGCCATGAATGAGACCTCATTAAGCATTTTTTCAGTCCGATTAAGCCATCTTTTTCAAGCCTGAGTCAGCCTTTTTTTCAGGCCTATGATTCAGCTTAATATAAAATACTTCAACCTGTTATCCTACGGTATGGAATATAGCACAAGTGAATCTAATTCTTTAGGGATTACATAAAATTCTTAGATTTAAATGGAGAAGCTCCTTCTTTTGCGTTTCGCGATAAATACTCGTAGTCTTATTTACTAATATACACGTTTAGCGCAAAGTGACGTACTTTTCTTTTTAAATTATGCTATTGATTAAATTACATTTTTAAATATTTTAGCATTTATTTTATAATTTTTTGAGAATACGATAAAGTGGTAGTTGTAAAATTTTTTGTTATATTTACAACAGTAGTCAAAATTATTTTCACATGCCAACTTCTTTTATTTGTTATTCTTATTGTTTTTGAACAATTTCCCTGAAATAAATGTTAAAGCGTAGCTTGATTTAGCATGAAATGCGAAAAATAGCGGTTCATAAGACAAAGCTAAAAGAAAAAGAAAAACAAGAAAGGAAAGCTAACTTCGGAGCCGAAATTGATATACCCTTGCAGTTAAAACCGGATATATATCGCAAACATCAGATATAGTTGGCCGATCGTTATAAGAATATGATAATATAACCCAATTTATTATAATAAAAAAATATAAAACAAATTTCCAAACTTCTTTCTCCAAAAATACCAAAGTTTGTATTTCTACCATATTTCTACCAACCATTTCCGATCGTTCAGTTATACGGCACCTATAAGATATAGTCGGCCGAACGTTATGAAATTTGGTAGGTCAGATTAACTGACCAAAAATAGAATCTGTACGAAGTTCTGAAACACGAAAGTTGGCTCAATTCCGATCGTTCAGTTATATGGCAGCTATAGGATATAGTCGGCCGATTCTTATGAAATTTGGTATTATTCTGCCAAAAATACGCTCTCACGTAAAATTTGAACTCTCTATCTCTAAAAACTCCAAAGTTATACCATTTACGATCAATCAGTTATATGGCAGCTATAGGATATAGTCGGCCGATCCGACTTATATACTGCGTAAAAAGGAAAGAAGGTTATGTGCAAAGTTTCAAGGCGATAGCTTTAAAACTGAGAGACTAGTTTGCGTAGAAACAGACAGACGGATATGCTTATATCAACTCAGGAGATGATCCTGATCAAGAATATATATACTTTATAGGGTCGGAGATGTCTCCTTCACTGCGTTGCACACTTTTGACCAAAATTATAATACCCTCTGCAAGGGTATAAAAACCCCTGACGTCGAATTGACGGGGTTGCATTAAGTCTAGAAAGAAAATAGCATAGAAGGTCGTCAGCCAACGGGTACAACAGGGAGACCTAAGCGCAAGCAATTGCGTGCCGTAACTGTGTACACCGCTG